GAACATTGATGTAGAGAGATACATGGATTGGTTGCCTCCTGCACAAGCCCTGGCTGGGGCTGGGATCCAATCTGCAACTCAGTACATGCCCTTAACCTGGAATTGAACCCACAAACGTTTGGTGGGCAGACCAATGCTCTAACCACTGAGCCCACCACGGGGAAGGTAGGGCCAGGGTAAAGATTCTTGTGCATATTCACAAAAACCAAAGATAAAGTTTTCCATATGACTTGACATTTGTCTCAGAAATTAAGATATGCATAGTCACTACCTCCATGCCTGTTGCTGATTCAATTGTTTCAATTGCCTGGGTTCCCAATGGGTAAGAGTAAATAACAGATTATCTTGCCTCACTGATAATCTGCTTAAAAATAAAGCTAATTCAATCTTAAAAACTAACTCTTAACACTAATGTTATGCAATAAAAAGTTCTGTTTGGCTAACTGTCTTTTATAATCTGGACATTTCCTAGACATGTTTTAGTAACTTTCTCACAGTAGATAATATCCAGAAATAAATAATACTCACTAAAAACAAAGTTTAACTAGTCACTTCATGATTTTAAAAGCCTCAACTCACTGATGGAATACAGGACCACAGAGTGTGAAACTGATCATCTCAGGCTCCCACAACAGGGCACACTTCTATGGAACGTCTTCCACTCGCGGTGTCCCATTTGCTTTTGAAATGCCAGTACTGTTTTAAACTGGCAACAAAAAGGCTGCTTTTTTCCAGCTCTCTGAAGACAGGCTTCTGTCCTGGGTTGATCCTAGTCAACACTAAGGATCACAGCACTGAGACTGAATTTTACACATTTAATAGAGTGCTGTGTTTAAATGCCCTGTCAGGTTGGGAACTGAGGTCACAAGCATACCTAGCCTCCCACTTCAGCCACGCTAGGAAATTCTTCCTAATAAAATGGAACAATTATTATGCAACACCATGAAATATAAAATATCTTCAGAATATGTGAAATCCTTGGGGGTGGGGGGGATGGAAAATTCTTATCTAGCACATAGAATAATGAGGAATAGTCAAAATTATGCCTCTTCAAACATATTTCCTTTTTCCACTCTATCCCAACATAGACCTAAAAATCTTCTAAAAATACAAATAATAAAAATGTAATCTCACCACTCTCCATCCCAAGTCTTTATCTTTCAATGGAGAGAACTTAGATCCTGCTTGATGTTAATGCAGGTTGATCAACTCTAAGTTGATCCCTGGCTTGAATATAATTGCTTTCATCACAATGTAATCAACACTTTCTTAATATGCATTTTTATTGATTTCAGAAAGGAAGAGGGAGACAGATAGAAACATCAATGATGAGAAAGAAGCATTGATCTTGGCTGCTTCCTGCCTGTCCCCTACTGGGGATCGAGCCCACCTGGGGAGCTCGGGACCCTTCAGTCCACAGGCTGATGATGCTCTATCCACTGAGCCAAACCAGATAGGGCTAACCAACACTTTCTTAATTTTCATGTGGCCTAACCTACTCCAAAAAGGCCTGGAAGAAAAGCCAGCAAGAGAAGGTTAAAAACTTTTCATTTGTGCTATCATATTATTAAGACGGTCCAACTGGGGAGGTGAAATAAAAAACTCTGTATTCCTAACCCCCTAGTCCAGATTCACTTCAGAAAGAAAGGAGACCTTTTCACGGTCTAGTTCTTTGAAAATCTATTGATGAGGATCACTGCAGAGCCCAACTAGGGAAAACAACAACATACTCCCTCCATGGCAAAGGGAAAAGGCATAAGAGGTGGCTAGAGCAGAGGTGGTGAACCACACTGAAGCAGGAAAGGAAGGAATTACAGGCTCTGTGCTTCCCTTTATGGTGCTTCACAGATGTTGTGTTTTTTACAAATTGAATGCAAGACCCTTCACCAGCAAAAAGAGTACAATTCACTTCACTGCAATACTGCCTTGCTGCAGTGTTCTGGAACTGAACCACCAGTATCTTGAGGTGCCTGTGCAATACCTGTGTCAACTCTGGTCAGGTACACTAATAGACACACCAAGAGGAAGGAAGCAATGAACAAAGAAAACTTACAGATATTCAGTTTAAGAATGCATTTAGAGATATACATACACCTACATCTAATATTCCCCTGTCCTCTGGTCTTGAACTAACCTGAATCATGTTCAATAGACAACCCTGGGTGGGCACAGACAAAGTAACATCTAAGCTGACCAATTAAGAATGAATTGAAAAAAATAACCAGGAAAATATGTTTAAAGGCAAAATGCAGAGAGATGTAAACTAATGTATAACTTATTCTAAGCCATATCAATGATGTGTACAGAAAATAGAAAAAAAAATGTGTCTATCATGTGCTAGCCATCATTCAGAGATGAATATAGGTTCCTTCATACACTACTAACAGTGGGAAGTGGTATTTATCCCATTTTTAGAGATGTGAAAACGAAGGGAGAAGTTTAAACAACATGCCCAAGGTCTAAATCTTAGTACAGTATTTAAACACACGTCTTCCAGCTCTAAAGCTGTACTTTCCCCTTTAAATCTTACTGATACACCTAGGTTCCACCAATAATAATCTTACTCCAGTTCATAATGAGCATTTTCTGATTAGAACAGGATGCGAAATAAAACTCAGCAGTGTCACACTCAACCTTTTCTACTGCAAATCAGAGAGATTAAGAGTCAGCCAGACCTCCCTCCCAAAGACACTCAGCTCCTGTCACATCCCATAAACTCCCACCACAGGGCTCTTCTCTGCTTCTAGAAACCCAAGAATCTTGCAAAAATTACACTGACAAGTACGTTCTGGCTTTCCACCCTGGCTCCTGCTGCTGCCTGCTGCTGCTCTGTTTTTTAACCCAAAGCTAACTACCTCCTCGAGAGCTGGAATTCGGAGGTGAACCGAACCCAGGCACCAACTGAAGGCAGCATTCGGCTCTGAGTGCCAAGCAGCTAACTATTCTCCTCTAAAGAGCAAGAAAGGACGGCCCCAGACTAATTCGCAGCTTTTAACGGTGCAGGAAACACGATCCGCACACAGGCAGAGCACAATGCAAATGAGGCAGACACATTCCCTTCTAGGCTTACGGAGTTGTGAAGACACACAGCAAGAGTTTACGGCAGAGCGGAGATGTCCACGGCCCACGAAGCTCATCAAAGTAATGCAGCCAGAGCTGGAACGCGGTCGCACACAGTCCCCCGACCCCGGGACCCGGAAATCCAGACGCTCAGCGCCCACTCACCTTCCCTGCTCCCCCGCGGCAGGAAGGGCCAGGCTCGGCTCCGAGAACACGGGTCTCGTGGATTCACGGAAGGACTGAGAAACAGGAAAGTTTAAGTGGCAACGGGGTCTCTTCCACCAAACACAGTAAAAAAATATATAAGTATATTTTAACATGTTTTTTTAGACCACCTCCGAGCTATTTAATGGATCTAATGCGGGCTCCTCAGTCAATAACCTACAAACATAGTTCCAGAAACAAAACGAGCCCGGCAAGGATCCTCCCCGCTCCACGGACATGTCACAAGTCACTTCGCAGGAAAACCGGAGTCTCTTCGCCCCGAACTAACCCACCCCCCGCCGCCCGAGGAGAAGCCAGCGCGCAGGGGGAGGGGTGGGTCCCGGGGAGAACGTGATCGCTCCAGCGCCGGTTTGTTTACAGACTCCAGCCACAGCCATGAGTCAGAAATTCAAGCCACCGGGCGCTTTCCAGCTAACCGGACCCGGGGAGGACCGTTCTCCGGTGTCCCGAGGACCCGGGGTGCGGGGAGGCCAGCGACGGGAATTCTGTGGCGAAGGGGACGGAACCAGCCGGCAACAACTGCCTCCCGGGTCCTCGGACCTCGGCCTCCCGGGTGCAAATTGACCATCATACCCTAGCAAAAGATGGCCGCCCCCAAGTGGGCACAAAATGGCTGCCACTAGATTGCTGGCAGAGAAGGGCAGCTGGGGGGATCAGGCCTGCAGCGGAGG